TCAATAGTACAGCAACTGGTCTGATGGGTTTAATTTCCATCTTCCCAACATAGCTATGTTGATGAATATTCTACCCCCCCCCCTTTGCCAGTTTTCATTTGCTTTCTTTAGGGCAGATGGCTAGAACTGATGTGTTGGAGCTCCTGGAGTCTATGACTCTGGTTACAGCTTGAGCCCAGGATTTGTGGCCAGCCCAGACAATACAGCGAAATCCTGTCTCAAAAGCAAACAGATGCAGGTGGTTGCTTTACAATAAGTTACTTGAGCGTTACCTCCCTCTTTGACTGTGTCCTTCTCTGTCTCTGTCATCTCTGGGGTAAGCCTTCTGAGTGCTCAGAAGCTTCCTGGTGCAGAAGCTGTGCTGTACCTAGAGATCTGCACCAGTCACGTGGGACAGGAAACAATGGCAGCTCTGTCTCACACCTGGACTTCAGTCTCATGAGAGCTGCTGCTGGATTTCTGATGCCAACAAATTGTGATGTGACATTTATTTCCAGTGGTAAATTTCAGGACAATCTATGCATGTCATGATAGGACACACAAAAGTCCACGTCTGTCTCCCATCTGGGCTGGAGAATTAAACTGACACAAGCCAGATAAGCAGGAGTAATGTATGTTGTGGGACCAGCCCCCACACTTATTTACCCCAGGAACTCTTGAGGAATGAGGGATAAGAGACTTAAGTTAGAAATAGAAAGGGAAAAAAAAAAAAGAGGAAAAAACACAGGATAGACTCGGATGGGCCTGGATCCTTATTTATCAGCCCAGAGCTTGATTCCAAAAGTCTATTTATAACAATGCCAAGGGGTGGAGCAAAAGACCTCTCCCTTGCTAGTTAGACCCTTACAAACACCTGGTACCCAGGCCCGTGGTCCAATCAACCTCTTATGCAGTCCTGCTGGGTACGGTCACTAGGAAACCTAGTGGGCTACAACAGTATTCAAAGTTTTTAAATCCAAGTTTCACGCTGCATGAACCCTATAAGGAACTGTAGCTCCGCAGAGAGCCAGTCACACATACACTGCATTGGACAGAGCAGTCGGGCCTCAGTATGGCAAGGCCCAAGGGCTTAGACCAGAGCAGTCAGTGCCTAGAGATGTACTGGGGATGGGAGGGGCCTTTAGCAATGTTTACATCGCTTCAGGTCCTCAGTGACAGTAGTAGAACAGGATTGTCACTTCAGGGGAGGGCTCTGTAGCCCAGGCTGACCTACAACCCTAACCCTCAGCTTCTCAAGGGCTGCTATTACAGGTGTGCACCACCATGCCTGGCTGAGAAGGACAGCTTTACACAGGAATTTCATCTCCTTTTAAGAAAAATACAAGTCAGGGAATTTTTTTTTGTACCTGCTAATTTTTAAATGCCTTTAATTCAAACTAGTAGATAAATCAGTGCAGCATGTTTGGAGGTGGTATACTTTGAACTTCTTGATAACAAAATGCATTGAAAGTGACCATTTTTTTTTTACCATAAAAGTAAAACAATATTTATTACTGTCTTTGTGATGAGTTAAAGGTGTAAGTGCCTCAAGGCTTGTCTCATGGACTTAGCAGGTTCCCTGGTACAGCCACACGTTAGGGCTGGGTGTCAGAGACTCTAGAGGATGTGTTGGACAGTGATGATGAAAATGATGCAGGTGACAATAACATGGACAACAGAACTCGGAGAGTCATCTGCAAAGCAGCTGTTGTGGTATGCTATGCCAGAAACACGGACAGCTGTGTGTCTTCCCCCGATGCTGGAATGTGCTGAAGAGCAGTGGATCCACAGCTGTGGTGGTTTTGTTGTCTACTCTTTACCAAGAACTCTTGGTTTCCTAATCCTATTGCTTATTGACAAACAGGTTCTTCTCCTTCTTTTTTTTCAAGACAGAGTTTCTTTGTGTAATTTTGGAGCCTGTCCTGGATCTCACTCTGTAGACCAGGCTGGCCTAAGACTCACAGAGATTTGCCTACCTCTGCCTCCTGAGTGCTGGGATTAAAGGTGTGTGCCACTACCACCTGGATTAAACACAGACAGGTTCTTTTACTCCAATCTTACTAATATTAACTCTTGGATCTCATATTATATCTTATACGTAAGGTGTGTGTGTGTGTGTGTGTGTGTGTGTGTGTGTGTGTGTGTGTGTGTGTGTAGGTTAATGGAGATTACAAAAGTTTTAAAGAGGTCCCACAGTTCAACGAGGGCTTACTGGAGATAGAAGTGGTTAGAAAATATGAGAAATCCAGCTGGAGATCTGCTGGAATTTCAGAGCTGAGCTGCAGGGTCTCCGGTATGAAACTTTAAGCTGACCTGAAGATTATGGCTGAGCCATAGAGACATTGGACTGTGGGGGCAAGACACAGAAGCATAGGGGCAAGGTGCAAGGCTAGTAGTGTCCAGACAGATGAGCCAAAGGACAGAGGATCGCAGCTGGAGTGGGCCCCATCACGCAATGACATTCGTGTTGAGCTGAAGTGCCACGGGACAGAGTACTGTGCCTGCCGGCCAGCTGACACACACACTGGATCTTCCAGTCAGGATATGCTATATAAGGGAAGAATCAATTTACAACAAAAGGGGGGGAAAGAACCTAAATGCCAATGAACGAGGGGCATTATAGTATATAATGGTATATGCATGTAATTGAATATTAAAAGGTAATATTAAAAGGTGATGTTAGCTACAACATGTATGGACTTTAGAACATGAAGCTATCTAGATTTGGGAAGGCTGCTAGGCATGACCATATACAATTCCATGTATTTGAAATGTCTAAAATAGGTCAGTCTACAGACAGAATATAGATTAGTGATTGCCAGAAGATGAAGAGATGAGGAAATGGGAAATGATTGCCTTTTCTTTTTTTTTTTTTTTTTTTTTTTTTTTTGGTTTTTCGAGACAGGGTTTCTCTGTGTAGCTTTGCGCCTTTCCTGGAACTCACTTGGTAGCCCAGGCTGGCCTCGAACTCACAGAGATCCGCCTGGCTCTGCCTCCCGAGTGCTGGGATTAAAGGCGTGCGCCACCACCGCCCGGCGATTGCCTTTTCTTTTAAGAGTGATTTTTTTCCCTAAAATTTGATTGTAATCTCAGTTTCACAGTTCTCTGACCTTACCTGAGAGAAATTTAGAATATATGTATACAGTATATGTCAATAAAGGTTTTGGTGGGTTTTTTGTTTTGTTTTGTTTTAATGTTTATTTATTGTGTATAGTGTTCTATCTGCATGTATGCTGCACACCAGAAGAGGGCGCCAGATCTCATTATAGATGGTTGTGAGCCACCATGTGGTTGCTGGGAATTGAACTCAGGACCTCTGGTAGAGCAGCCAGTGCTCCTAACCTCTGAGCCATCTCTCCAGCCCCGGTTCTGGTGGTTTTTTTTAATTATTTTTATTTATTTTTGAGGCAGGATCTTATGTAGTTCTGACTGACCTCAAACATACTATGTAGTACAAGAATGAACTTAAACTTAAGAAAAAATGTTATTTTTTATTTAATGTACAGGAATGTTTTGTCTACAGGTATATAAGTGCACTGTTTGTGCCTTGTGCCTGAGAAGACTAGAAAAGGATGCTGGATCCCCTGGAACTGAAGTTATGGACAGCTGTCAGCTGACATATGGGTGCTGAAAATCGAATCTGGGTCTTCTGGAAGAGCAAAAAATGCTTTTCATTTCAGAGCCATTTTCCCAGCCTCTGCTTTTTGACTTCTAAATGTTATCAGGAGATGGATAGTGGCAATGGTTGTACAATACAAATGTACTCGTACTTTTTTTTTTTTTTTTTTTTTTGGTTTTTCGAGACAGGGTTTCTCTGTGTAGCTTTGGTGCCTGCCCTGGATCTCACTCTGTAGCCCAGTCTCGCCTCGAACTCACAGAGATCCGCCTGGCTCTGCCTCCCAAGTGCTGGGACTAAAGGAGTGAACCACCACCGCCCAGCTGTCCTCGTACTTAATGCCAGTAAATGGTTAAAGTGACAAAAAAAATTTTTATTTCTTATTTTTTTTAAGAATTATTTATTTATTATGTATACAGAAGAGGGTGCCAGATCTCATTACAGATGGTTGTGAGCCACTATGTGGGTGCTGGGAATTGAACTCAAGACCTCTAGAAGAGCAGTCGGTGCTCTTAAACCTCTGAGCCATCTCTCCAGCCCAAAGTGACAAATTTATATACATATAAATATACGCGTGTATACACACATAGATAAAATCAATCCTACTTGTAAAAGCTTAAGATGATTCAGGAACACTGCGACAGAGTCTTGTAGGAAAATGAGTTCTATTATGAACTATGGACCATTATGGGGGAAGAGGGATGGATTTGTGAAAGAGAAATTAGGAGGAGGATAATAGCTGAAGCCAAGGAAAACTGACTTCCAGGCTAAGGTAGAGGGAAAAAAAAAAAAACTTGGTCATATTCAGAGGAGCGTCTGATTGCGCTGAAAGAGATCTTACACAAGAGAGCATAGACAGGCCTTCGGAAAAGATCAGGAGCATGGATGGTTTGGCCAAAGACTTGTCATATTTCTCAGCACAATAAAAAAAAATAATAAAAGTAGAGGCAAACCGCTACCTACAATCCTAGGTGCGTTATGAAATAGGGACATTTGGCCGGGCGGTGGTGGCGCACGCCTTTAATCCCAGCACTCAGGAGGCAGAGGCAGGCAGATCTCTGTGAGTTCGAGGCCAGCCTGGTCTCCAAAGCGAGTTCCAGGAAAGGATCAAAGCTACACAGAGAAACCCTGTCTCGAAAGACCAAAAAATAAAAATTAAATATAAAAAAAAAAAAAGAAAAGAAATAGGGACATCTGGGTTTCGGCCGTGCTTTGGAGCGCTTGCTAACGAGGCTGGGCCGAGATTAGGCTCAGGCATTCACCCGCAGAGGCACCGGGACGCCAAGAAGGTGAGCACCACGCCCTCACCGTGCAGAGCGAGCCCTCTGCGGACGCTCAGGAACAGCTTAGGGAGCCGACCCAAAGGCCCGCCCGCGTCCTCACCGCGCAAGCGCGCGGGCCAAGCGTACGCCTGCGCCTGCGCAGCAGCGATAGGAAAACGTCAGCACGTACGCCGGGAGGGTCCGCGGCGCGGGAGGCGCTGGTCCGGCGAGGAGTAGCAGGCGGTCGGGCCGCGTGGGCTCTCACGAGGTTAGAGGTTGCCCGGTGTGGGCCCCTGGGGCTGGGGCCGCCGGGGTACGGCCCCTGTGGAGATGGAGGTCCAGGGGTGTGGTTCCGGTGCGAGCCGAGGCCCGCTGCAGGCCTCAGGCCCTGGGCCGCAAGTGGAGGTTTGAGGGTGGCGCGGGCCTGCGGGGTTCGCAGGGGGGCCCCAGGCGGAGAGTCCGGGGTGCGGGCCGGGGTCTTGGGACCCGGGTGGGGTCGCGGACCTCACGGTTCTCTGCACCCGCAGGCAGCTCGCGGCATCCGGCCGCGCAGGCCCGCTCAAGATGTCGTACATGCTCCCGCATCTGCACAATGGCTGGCAGGTAGACCAGGCCATCCTTTCCGAGGAGGACCGCGTGGTCGTCATTCGTTTCGGACACGACTGGGACCCCACTTGCATGAAGATGGACGAGGTTCTGTACAGCATCGCCGAAAAGGTAACGCAAGTGCGGGATTCGCTCTGCCGGGCCCTGCCTGCCTGCCTGCCGCGCGGTTGGGACGCGAGATTCAAGGCGGAGTCCAGGGTTCCATACACACCCATTGACCCACAGAGAGGGAAAGAACGTGTTCATGAACACGTACGGGGAAGGTTTGTGCCGGAAAGTCAGTTTCTTAAACTTTGAAGGGATTTACGATCTTCCTAAAGTACGTGACTTCTTGTGATGATGAATTTTGTTGTGATGATTGGGGAAGAGAATTGTTCTGAGATAGGTCTTGTATATAATCGAGACGCACCTTGAAGTTATTACCGTCCTGCCTCAGCCTCTTAGAGTGTTGGGATTACAGGTGTGCACCACTGTGGACCTTGATAGTGTTCTTAAAGAATTTACTAGGGCCAGGTGCAACGGCACAAGCATTTACTCCCAGCACTTTGGAAGCTGAGGCCGACTGATCTGAGTTCCAGACCAGTCAGGATTTAAGACCCAGTCTCCCCCCTCACCCCCCCAAAAGAAAAAACAGAGTTACTGTATCGTGTGTATAGTGAACAGAATGAATTTGAGAGTGTTGGAACGTACTTAAGTAGCCTAGTTTAACAGGATTGGCCTTTCCTTGGTACTTTATTGTATTTATAAATCAGAACTTCTAGGTTAATATTGTGGTAAACTTTTTAATTATTTTTTCTTTCGCGAGAAGAGGGGGCAGCGGATTTATTGTGTAGCCCAGGGTAACCTTGAACTTTTTTTCATTCTCTGCCTCATCACAAGGCCTGAGCTCCAAAGCACTTTGGTTAGGAGGTTTATTCTCTTTCTGTGAATTCCTTTTGACAGTTTTAGGATAACTTACTTAGACTTTTGTAATTGTAACAATAGGGCCAGTGACAAAGACAGTAAAGTAATAAAATATTTAATGATAGTATTCCATGAGTAATTTGAATATTCTTTTGCGTTCTTCCTTATTTTTTATTGTCTTGAGGCAGAGCCTCCCTAACTAGCTCTGGAACTTGTGTAGACCTCACAGACATCCTTAACTCCCTTTTCCTCACCTCCCAGTGCTAGGATGAAAGGCATTTGCCACCGTGCCTAGCCTGAGAGTTTGTTTTAAAGAATAAACACTAATAGAAATGCTGAAACTTTTCCCTCTCACGGATGCTAATGTAAGCTGGCTTAAAGTAATTCTTACCTTCCAAATGGCTCTCCCATAGCATTATTACTTCATTTACCTGTGCTGCAAGTGAAGCCAGGGCCTCAGACATGCCAGGCAAGGGCTCTACCACTGAACCACAATCACCATACCAAAGAAACTCTTTGGAGGAAGACCTAGGTGTGTGTATATGTAGGAAAGGCAGCATTATTTGGCTCTCCGTGGATTGGTTTCTGCTTTTGGATTTAGGAGAGAACAATAGAGGACAGTTCTGACATTTCAGTCGTCACAGGTGTCTTCAGGGATGTTGGTCTGGGCCGGGCGCAGGAAGCCTTGTTAAAGAGGGTGGGTCCCAGGGAATTCAGGAACCCCACCACCACCACCATGGGGGGTGGGGCGCAGCGGGAGCAGAAATTTGGCTCAGGGCAACAGTACTTCTCAGCCATCCCTGCCCTGTTCCTCTTGGGCTCCAGGACAGTGAAGACCTGACGGTGTGGCTAGGGCTGAGAGAACATTTCTCTCGCATGCTGGCTGTTTTGCCAGTCAGGGCTAGAGGTAAGAATGCGGTGGTTGGATCCATTACACCAACAAATGCTGAAATTCTCTGAAGCAGCACTAAAAGCAAGTCTGCACTATTGGATCTGTCAGTTAGGGACAGCTGTTCCCTAACTGTCCGAACCTGAAGGCGGCATGAGCAGCCTCGGGTGGGGTTTCCTGTCAGGATGACTTGGGTGTGATGATGCCCTTGGCTTTTCCCAGCTAAGTAGAACTTTTTCCCGGAAGTGTTCTCTTCTTTCCTTGTTGTACTGTGTCAGGTGCAGATGGAACTGTCAGCTCTACTAGACGTGTTGTATTTGCTAGGGGGCACATTAGTCTCATTTTAAAATATTTTTCTTTTGTCCTAAATTTGATTACAGTTGTTTGTTTTTCAAGACAGGGTTTCTCTGTGTAGTCCTGACTGTCCTCGAACTTGCTTTGTAGACCAGGCTAGCCTCAAAGTCGCAGAGATCCTCCTGCCCCTGCCTCCCTAGTGCTGGGATTAAAGGCGTGTGTCACTATTGCCCAGCCTTGATTACATTCTTAATAACTTCTCCACTTTCCCTTTTTCAAAACTTTCTGGTGCTGGCATGCTAAGCAGGTGGCCTATGTCCTCCAGTTTCCTTTTTTTTTTTTTTTTTGTTTTTGTTTTTGTTTTTTTGTTTTTTCGAGACAGGGTTTCTCTGTGTAGCTTTGCGCCTTTCCTGGAACTCACTTGGTAGCCCAGGCTGGCCTCGAACTCACAGAGATCCGCCTGGCTCTGCCTCCCGAGTGCTGGGATTAAAGGCGTGCGCCACCACCGCCCGGCTTCCAGTTTCCTTTTATTTTTCCATTTTGTGTGTGTGTGCCCCACCACCACCACCATCACAGATGGTGGCCCAAGGTATTAGCAATAATCCTCAGTCCATCTTCCACCTCATTATCCATTGAGGCAGGGTCTTTCCTTAAAACTAGAGCTTGCCACTAAGGCTAGTCTCGCCAGCCATTGTGATCCTAGGGGTCCTCTGTCTTCACCTTCCAAGACTAGAATTACAGAAAGGCCATCATGCCTTCTTGGTAGTTATGTGGGTTTCTGGGGTTCTGAATTTGGGCCCTGCAAGCTCTCTAATCACTGAGTAATCTTTTCCTGTCCTTAATAAGCCTTTAATACTGTGTTTTAGTATAGTTATTAAAAACGTAATTTGAAATAAATTAAAAAGACTACTATTAATGTTTTGCTTTCTTAGTATAATGGCAAAATATAAATTCATATTTCTGGAAACTGGGGTAACAGAAATTTTTGAAATTTTAAGATTTTAGTATAAAGAACAGTATAACTATTTGAAAATCTCCCTCTGCAGAAATGGAAGATAGTGGGAGATCTTTCTCATCTTGTATGAGTCCTGTTTGGATATCCCAGCTGTTTTAAAGTGAGTAAAAGTTCCGTGTGTTCAGGCTGGACTTGAGTGTCCCATTTCTCCTAGAATGTGTTCATTAGCCAGTGTGCTTCTTGCAGTGCCCACCTCCACCTGATGCTGGACTAGTTTTGAATTAAATAGTTAAGGAAGAAAGGTAGTAGGGAGCAAGTATCCTTAAAGATCTAGAGCTTACTGAGTAAGTTCTCTGTAAAGCTGATTACATGCGACTTATAAGAGAGACTATTTCATGAACCTGTGATCTCTTTCCCAATGAGTGGGAATATACTTTGCTACGAAAGTACTCTAGGAATTAGTATTCCTTTAATACTGTGACACACAAAAATAATGAGTCATTTAGTTTTGTGTGTTTAAAAAGTCCATACAAATGGCATTTAAAATATCTTCTGGGATATATTGACATGTAATGGCATGTTCTGAAAGAAACTTACATTGTGGCTGGTGAGATGGCTCAGCAGACGGAGGCATTGCCACACAGGAACCCACAGCCAAGTCAAGGAAAGAACCAGCTCCACAAGTTGTTCTCTGACCTCCACACATGTGTTGTGGCATGTCTGTACCATATACACACATGAATATAAATGTACACAAGATAAAATTTTAGAAAACTGACAAGACAAATAATGTTTATAGAGCTTTTAAAGAATGCTGTCAGGGAGCCTGTCTTCTGCATGGCAGTGAGGACTGATCTTTGGAGTCAGCACTCAGCTAGACGAGGAGTCTCAGACACAGAAGAGTGTGGACTTTGTGTTATTGTGGAGTTTGTGAAAGACTTCTCTGCCCAGACACAAGCTTGTTAGAAAGCACATACAGATGTTCCCCATGCTTTTTTAAAGTTCCATAACTTGTGGGAAATAAATATACAGACCATATACAAAGCAATATTTTTCCATTTTTATATTTTTCAAAACGGTTATTGGAGAAAAAAGTAGTGAACATCTACTTTAATCTGTTTTATATAAAACGGGAGTGGAAATTTTAGTGAACTGCAAATTGATAAATGGGTGGACAGTAAGTAGCAGGAGAAACAGTGTTGCTGAGTTTATATTCTAGCCCACATGGAAGCAAGAGCCAGAGTGCAAGCAGCCCCTATTTTGAGATACCTTGCACACACTGCTGTTGCAGATAGAATCCAAGAAGGTGCAGGAGTTAGCAGGGGAGGTCTGATGCTATGCTAGTACTTTCTCGCCTAATTGTCACATGAGTATATAGCCTCATAGGCAGAGAACCCATCCTCACTAGAAGGACCAGTCTTTGCCAAGACCCTGCTCCCAAGGTCTTGTGGATAAGAGCTTCTGCAAGCTTGAGTACAGAGTTAAGATCATGTCATTACATTGAGGTTCCGTAGCCAGGACTGCCTGTTAAATCGTATTCTTCAAAGATGCAGTTATGATGACAGTGCTGTGTTTCTTGAGTTTTGAAATACACCTTTGTCAATTCCTCGAGGCAAACGCGGTTGGTGTCGCTTGTGCTCCGTGGCATCCTCTCTGGTTCTCGAGTCTGATAGGCCTCTCTGCTGCCAATATGAACATCCGCCGGGCTCGGCCAGATGACCTGATGAACATGCAACACTGCAACCTCCTTTGCCTTCCTGAGAACTACCAGATGAAGTACTATTTCTATCATGGCCTCTCTTGGCCCCAGCTCTCCTACATTGCTGAGGATGAGGATGGGAAGATCGTGGGTTATGTCCTGGCCAAAATGGAAGAGGATCCTGATGATGTCCCTCATGGACACATCACCTCACTGGCTGTGAAACGCTCCCACCGGCGCCTTGGCCTGGCCCAGAAGCTGATGGACCAGGCCTCACGGGCCATGATTGAGAACTTCAGCGCTAAGTATGTATCCCTGCATGTCAGGAAGAGCAACCGAGCAGCCTTGCACCTTTACTCTAACACCCTGAA